CATCAACACCACCCGACTTATTATGTGAGCCGGACCCTCGAACTTGAGAACTTTTCGGAATGATATGACCATTATAAGAGCATTGCAGACTGTCATTCAATTCTGATACCTAAGACTGTCGTGTATAAACCGAAAATATCGCGGTAAAGGTCCAGGGTTGCTAAAAACCCTGACAGCAGAATTATCCGCTCAAGTTTGCCATGCATGTCGTTAGATATACATCCCGTCAACAGGACCCTGCCTGCCAAACTCCTTGGAAAATTTCTTGTTCGATTTCGCGGCTAATTCCAAGTATTTATAGCTAGACTAGAGAATTGGAAAGTGTTTACTCCCATCCCCATCAATACAGAGATAACCCATCAATTTTGGCATAAAAATACTTTCTATCTAACTATAAGTCTGAACTCAAGGCAGGCTTCAATAAATCAAACACTCCACCGCCTTGTTATAAGATCTGAACGTTTTAGTCCCACTCCCTGACATAGTCTGACCACAGTAATAGTCCACTACGTTACCGCTTCCAGTATGTATATACCCTACACATTCGAATGGCAGCTCATTGTTATCGCACGACACAATCCCGGGCTTGGAACCATTTGGAGTATACTTGCATCCAGTGTACTGGCCCAGCGTGAAAGAGCCCAAATCAGTCGGATATTCAGTCGACTCTTTGGCACCGACAGAATCAGTCACTTTGCGTGTGTGGGCGCAGACATCGTCCTCTGTGATCTGCTGTCGGTAGGAGTAGTAGACGCCATAGAAGGCGTATGAATCGCTGCGAGAGAGGTCAAAACCATTATCTTTTTCCTCGTGGTATTTGAAGATGATGAAAGAGTTGGGGATTGCTGAACCCGTTGGGTCAGTCCCTCCGCCTTCAGTGGTGGTTTTGGTTGCCGTGGTGGAGGTGGAGGTGGAGGTGGAATCGATGGCTGACCAGTAGCTGGAAATATAGGAAGACCAGTCGCTCTCAATCGAGGCTTCAATATCTGCATCTAGCGTTTGCTCATACTCGATGATGGTCACAGTAGCTTCAATGAAGTCGCCTCCATCAATCGTCTTGGTAGCGGTCGTCGGCTTTGCGTTGCAGGCTGTGATGGTCTCGCAGGCGGTGGTCAAGGTCTCGGTAGAGTAGGTCGACGCCGGGGTGACAAGCGTGCTACTGATCCAGTCGGTGCACATCTCGGCTTCTTGGGTTTTGCAGTCAGAGTCTTCAGACTGGCAGTCTTTGCCCGTGCAGATTCCATTCTTGCAATCTTCGCCTGTGCAGCTCACGACCCGGCAGTTGGGTCCTGTGCAGGTAAAGTCGTCGCTTGAGCACTGTGAACCCAGACATCCCCATGACAGACAACCAATACCGAAGCACCCACCTGAACTGCTGTCGCAGTCAGAGCCTACACACCCATGGTCCTGGCAGTCGGAGCCCGAGCAGTGACCGCTATCGCAGTCGGGTCCTGTGCATCCGGTCGGCTTGCAGTCGTCGCCACCTATGCAGATGCCGCTGTAGCAGTCCTTTCCAGTGCAGCCTTTCTGGACGCATAGTTTGCCTATGCATTTGCCATTCTTGCAGTCTGGGCCTGAGCATGGAGCAACTGAGGGTGGGTTGTTGTCGATGGGATCCACAAAGTCAGAGTAGGAAAGGTCGTCACAGTTGTTGAGGCAGGGGCCGCCGCAGAACTCGGTGCAAATCTGACCGCAGTTGGCCGTGCAGGTCGGGCCGGGAGGGTTGCCTTGGGTGAAGGTGACCTTGGAGGGATTCTCGTTGTCGGTATACCAGGGCCAGGGTGGCAGATGCACAGTGCGGGTGACAGCCGGATGGGAGACACCCGTTTCGTTCAGAGGGTTGGGGTCGTCAGTAATGGTAACAGGCGGCAGGGGGATGCTGGGCCATAGAGTGCCCACAAGCTGCGTAGCATTCGCCTCTGTGATATTCCAGTTGTGGAATCCGTAGGCATCGGTCGTGAGTGGCGGCACTGAGATGGTCGTGTGTTGAATGTACCGGGTTATGGTGGTGATGGCCGTTGTTATGGATCCGCTCATCACAGTCTTGGTTGTCTTCCAGGCTACTTCGACCGAGGTGGGCAAACCCTGCGCCGGGATCGTGGTCGGGGTTGCCAGTGTTGTCAAAGGGAAAACGATATTCACGGGCCCAATGGCTGTCACCTGATTAGAGTCGGAATCAAACACTTCAGATCCCACAAAGAGGGTTTCAGTCCCGTCACTTCCACCTTCGACATCGGCACCACCCATGCTGGTGTCCGAGGTGTCCATAGAGTTGGGGTTTTTGAGAGAACCAGGTCCGCCCATATCCAGAGCCCAACTGAAAAGACCTCCCATGCACCTGGAATTGGCAAAATCGGCCTTTTGCTTCAACGTGCGCCCGTTGTCAAAAGACACCCTGGTATCGGAACATCATTAGCCATAGGTAGAGTCTTCAATGAAAACCACTTACCATTGGTTACTGTTCCATGTCATCCAGTTGACTGCGGCTTTTTCGTCGTACTCGATCGTAGGTTCATTAGACTCGATGATCCGATTGATCTCATAGTCAGAGAGAATACCGCTGGTTGCAGTGCACTCGCCTGCTGCTGCTCCCCCGGTGCTATTGTGATCCTTGTCAAATGCACAGCCAGGAGATGTACACGAGGGATCATCCAGGGTAAAGGAGCGCCCGTAGAATCCCAGACCTAATAGAACCTTGCTAGGGTCGATGCTGTTCCGCCATAGCAGGTCCAGGCCAGTAGAAACCTCTGTTCTAGATAGTCAGTTTTTCTTGGCGATACGGCAAGATACAAGGAATGAAATCGGACATACCAGTAAGATTAGTGTGTGGATTGATCACAGACTGAGTCCATTTGGTTGACCCGTCCCAGGTGCCGTGAATGTCATAGGACATAAAGTTGAAACTGTCGAGATACTCGGCCATGCCCTTGAGATCAAAGCCCTTCAAGTACCCTGAAATGGTCAGTCAGTAGACAATATATACAGCTAAGGGGTCTTGACCAACAGTAAGATGATGGGAGCGTCACAGTGATTCCATACGTGGTCTTGACCTCTTCACGCAATTCTTTAAGCAACGTCACTAGATTTGCAGTATCCCTGCTGGTACCACCTAGACGGTAAAGCGAACAACGTGTCAGTACGAGGACTTAGTAATATCAATCCACGAGAATAACGGTACATACCCCGATCTTCAGCAGCAGGATACTCCCAATCAATATCAATACCATCAAAATCGTACTTCTTCATAGTACTAACAACCGATTTGATGAAGGCGCTGCGTGTTCCCGGGAAACGACACAGGTTAGACCAGATTTCACCGCCAAGATCCCAGCCTCCGATAGAGAGGTATGTCTTTAACGAGCTCTTCTTTTTCTTCAAGGCAGTGAACTCAGTCCAGTAGTCCTCATCACCATCGTTCATAGTGGTAATGGTGAAATCGGATTTGTCAATGTAAGCGAAGCTGTAGTAGAGATGCTGAAGACACTTAGCACGTGCAAACGAGTTGAATAACCAGATGTAAGGCACATACAGTCCAGGGCACCGCGTTGATGTTGTCCGGTGTGACAGTATCGCATTGTCTCTGCGTATTCCAGCCCTCGTAGTATCCAATATACCGGGCCTCACTCGACTTTCCACCACATGATCTGAGCGATGGCTCCCATTAGAATGATAGATCCGATTCGGCGAAATCTTGTATGCTTACGGTGTATTAACAGGGTCGCAACCACTTTGGCAACCAGTTCCGCAGAATTCCTCAGTTGTCCCGCAAAAGCTGTGAAATTATAAAATCAGCAAAGGAGAAACAGGATTCAAATTCACCATCATAGCTTACCCGAATTCAGAGCAGCAAACATTCAATGGACACTCAGTGCCATTGACCTTGGCAAATTCTATAATTCAAATGGTTAATTGCCAGAGGATACCAAGTGAAGGGGGATCAACATACCACCGCACTCTGCTATAGCATCGCAGCCTGAAATACACACATCATCTCCGCAGAAGTCAGGCCCAAAGCCGCAGTATCCTTCTTTGGAGCAACATCCTGATTCACATTTATCTGCACTGGAGCAACTTCCCATTGCTGCCAAAGCTGACGGAATGACATTGTTAAGAACCAATAAGCTGAGAAGTAGCCATGACGATGAGAATGACAGCATGTTGGTCGAGTCCCCGTAGGACCTTCAGGTATAAAAGAAGGAACCTGATTGAAAAAAATGAACCTGTAGTAAGGAATGGAAAGTGGGAAAAAGAAAAAGAAAAAGAGCGTGATGTAAAAAAAAGAAATGCTTCACCAGGGCACGGTTCCTTATATCGAGTTAAGCTTGCCTAAACCTGCATAATTTCTGTTCCCTTAAGAACCAAGAGATCATTCCTTTCCTAGGTGACTTCGGTATCGGTCTTACGGGTATAGAAGAGCCAACGCTAATGCGACGTTCAATGCCTCTTGGCATGGGCCCATTGGCCCCAGTGGGTCAAAGATGTAAAACAAACGGCGTGATCTTAGCTCAGCCACCAACAACCCATTTAAAATACAGGCACATACCTGTATATGTATCGCCACCAAAGCCCCACCTAGGGTCTATATTGAGCCCAATGCCTCAATTGTCGGCATTTTCGGAAGACCGTGTGCATTAGTCGAGGCCTATATTGTATAGTCTAGAAGTGTTCCCCACTATCGGATTCAGGAAAAGGTCGGAAGTGCTTCGATCTAGGAACTGCTCGGAGGAGACTTTGCACGGGCCGAAGGCCTTTTTACGCTGGGGCCAAGAGATTATGGAGACCATGAGACTAGAGAAAGAAATTGGACTTCATGCTAAGGAGATTTACAGGGTCCATATAGTTTCCTGTGTGCTACGCCTGTTTAGTCCTAGACTGTTATTCTCGAGGTTAGTATGTTTAATGCTCGGGAATACTGATATGTCTTAAACACAAGTCCAGCCGGCACTGTTGGTCCATGTAAAGGACACAATCAAAAGCCCCATTCCCACCAATCTTTCGCCATGCTTCGGCCCACGGGTGCCTTCGAAGCTCTCGCACGGCAATGGAGATCCCATGTTCAGATCTTGCTTGTGTTATGTTTTGTCACCTTTGCAAGTGCCCTTTCTGATGACAGTTCGGCAATCTCCGCTGCAGGTACCCCGGTAAACGCTGGTTTTATCAACGGGACTGCACTTGGGCAAGACTCGCATTATCTCTACAAACGTGCAGGAACCAACAGTAGAAGCAATGTCGTTTATACATCGACGTGCTCAGATGATCAAATTACATACTTGGACAGTTCGCTGAGCGAAGCTAAAGACCTGGTGCGTATCCAGATCCTGTTCCAAAACCCAGGCTGATTTCTAACGCTACCCACAAAAGGCTTCCAGAGCTGTCACGGCTATAAGTGAGCTGTTGGACATAATGCGGCTCAAGGAACAGCCCGAGCATTGGCCTTCAGCCTCGTATACCAGAAGATACCGAAACCTCCTTCTCTGGGGTTCCTTGTTTGGTGAGCCGATACTGCAGAGAGGGGTTGGCAAGAGGACTCTAAAGAATACCATCAGTACGATGGCGAGAGTGAAAAGTATGTTGAATTCGTGGCCAGACCTGGAGCAAGAATTCCCTGCTGACGAGTACATCAAACCCTTAGATAGCTTCATGCGTGTTCGAAACGCACTCGACGTCAAGAAGAACAACTTTCACATGATAATCAATTGCCATGACAATTGGCTTGTATACTCGCATGATGAAGCGATTTCCGATGGCGAGGGAGGCCAGGTGTTATCTCGTGAGTTTTCTCCGAAAGATTGGCTTGGTTTTATGTCCACCCGTCCACTTGATACTCCTTTTTTTCCAGCCGAATGCTACTAACTCGTACGAATCTTCAGGGATGTATCACGATACGAGAATTCAAGATCAAAATGTCTACATGAGCCATACCATGACATGCCACGAACGGCCTTCAATGAGAGGCTACACTTGGGAAAACAAGTTTACGGGCAAGGAAGAGACTGTCTACTGCCCCGACTCATTCCCAATGTGGAACGGCCGCCACATAGCCGATAGACAGAGCTCGACCTTTGCGTCTATGAAGGGAAAGACGTTCAAAGATGTGAAGGAGTATGCTGCTGCCAGCACCATGCTCCATGAAGTCACTCATTCTCCGAAGACTCTCGGTGATCATTCGACCGAAGGTGAGACTCGTGATATATCAAGTCCCGAGTGAGAGCGAAGTTTCATGGCTCACACTGTGTTTCTAGACGTACGCATCACCTATCAGGGACGAACATACCCCGCGTACGGTGGACCCCTTTGCCGGGAGCTCGCCATGACCTTCACTGACGACATTGGATACCCCGAACTGAATGCCGGTAGGTGTCTTTATCACATTTTTGAGGCTCGGACATCCAACATGCTGACTGGTTTGCAGATACTTTGGCCTTGTTTGGACTCGGGGTTTATTACAGCCAGTGCAATTGGGCTAATTCTGATAAGCCCGGTAAATGTTGGACTGACACGCCGGATAAAATTTGCCCAACGGTAAACAACCAGAGAACATGTGTGACTTTTGACTGGGACGCTTAATGCATTGTTACCGGTATGCCGGACATGCAGGTATAGTGGGGGGTGGCGGGGCAGGGTGATGGTTGAGGTGAAAGAAAAAAGAAATACTTCTAAATTCGAAGATAAGTACTGATAGACAAAGGGTGAAGATAATATACTACTATAGCCATGGAATGATATAGCTATTCTTCTACTTGCTTTCTTTTCCGTTCACTGCTCATTCCCTAGCAAATTTAGCAAGGTATGTTAAACGCCTAGTGTTTTTGGAATGCCTCTATAACTTACGGAGTATAATACCTCAAGTCCCCCCTGCATTACAAAAACGAGCTAACACAAACTAGCGTGCACTAGTCAAGAGATGGCGCACCAACCCTTCGCACGTACGGCGGAACATCGCTTATCACGCTAACCACATACGGCTTAGAGCCTCTGGAGCTATACGCTTCTACGTATTTTCAACTTCCCCTGTATGTACATGCACTTGCGAAATTGAATTCATCTACTTTCCCGTAATGGCGCTCGCCCAACTACCTACTGAGATCCTGTGGATCATCGCATCATGCTTTTGCCACCAAAGGGACATTTACGCCTTGGTCCGGACCAATCGTCATCTATACAAAACACTCATCAAGTTTCTGTATTGCTTTCACGGCCAGTATAAGCATGGAGCCGCGCTCTCTTTCGCTGCCGAGCGGAATCTCTCTTTACAAGTTGAAAGTTTGCTGGATGGGCTGAATGCTGCCCGCAACCAGCCTCAAGCATCCCTAGCAGCGATAGAAGCAACCGAAGACAAGGCGCCAAAAATGTACGAAGAAGAAGAAGAAGAAGAAGACACGGTGCCAAGGAGAACACGAGAAATTGAAAGATGGGGCCCCACGGATCCTTACTGCCAGGATATCTTTACCCACCCTCTTTTCCAACAGGGATACAGCATCCCGAGTGTTGTGAATATCCAGCACGCTCTAGTGGTGGCAATTCAGGGTGGCCATACCAAAATTGTGGCCGTCTTGCTGGATTTTGGTGCACAGGCCAACTTCTACTATGGGGAGCGCGTTCAATGCTTAATTACTCAACATACTCGCAACCGGTGGCATAGTAAGGAGGTTGACTACCCGCCCCTCTTCACTGCGGTGCAGTTCGGGAATCTGGAGCTAGTAAAGTTGGTGCTTCAGCGTGGTGCTGATCCAGAGCTGTATGCCCCTTCACCGTTATATCGCGCCGTGAAAGATGATCGACGGGATATTATCCCTGTATTGCTCGAACATGGCGTGGGCCCGCAAGCAACAGCGTTGAAGCTCGCTGTACTACATGAGGATGAGTCCATGGTGAGACTTCTTCTTGATGGAGGATTAAATGTTTCACAGTACGGATATGCTGGACTCTACACTGCTAAAATGAAGGGCGAGCAGGATATGGTCGACTTGTTGGAGTCTCAGGGTGCGACCTTGGCTGCACTTACTGACACTGACAAGAGAAATTGGGCGAAGGAGGACGGGGATGGCACTCGTCGGCCTATTTTTCACCTTATGTTTATTTCCGACGAGACCGAGATCGAAGAGGATGAGGAAGAGGATGACGAGGTTCAAAATGGTGAGGATTGATTGGGTGCCTTTTCTTGTATCACACATTTCCAAATTGTTTCCCTTTTTTTTTCTCTCTCTTTCTATTCCTGGTTTTACAGACGAACATATGCACAACTGCACAACTGTGCAGTAGATATGTACACAGATACATGCATATGCCTACATATGAATCTAACAGCCCTTGGCGCATCGCGTAATTTCCAACAATGACAACCGACTATGTTGTATGAGGTATATTTTCCCTCAATTAACAGGGTGCTGCATTCCTTCACCATCCGCCCAGAATGGCCTATTGGAGTTCGGCCGCATTAAAAACCCTGTGTTGGCAATTTCGGTCTGCTTCCGGCCACATTGTTCCCACCGTCATCTCGTTTAGAAACTAGAGCGTGAGCTGGTGGAGCTGTGGCGGCCGCTAGGCAAACCCGGCAATCCGCAATCACCGGAGTGTTTCACATTGTATAGAATGGTGTGTGAACTAGTGAAATTGTTGACTTCTGTACTAGTTGACCCGATGCAGAATTTTTATTTTTTTCCGACTAAGAGGAAGCGTTGGATTGCAGATTGATGTAGTGTCAGTTTATGCATTGAAGATCAAAGATGAATGATCTTTATCGGACAGGTGATAATCAGTGATCAGTAGCTTGTTGGTGCCGATCCAATCAATCAAAATCTGATGGAGATACAATGTGTATTGTAGAAACCCAACAGCAAGGCCCTTCCGATGGGGCGAAATTGGCATGTATTTAATAAGACGCATCGGTTACAAGTTAAGTGAATCTCCAGATAGACTGGTGCCTGTTATTTTGCTCGAGGCTAATGCGGCATTTATATTTGCTACCAGAGAGCCACAAAAGGGGGCCTTCGGATGTATTCGCTCGGCGTTTGTTATATCCTGACCCTCCTTGACTTCTAGTCATATCAACATTCACAGATCTGGGCACCAGCACCTTCAGACAAATGGTCCGACCGAGCGTCGTTCTCCCAGCCCTATGCCTGAGTGCGTCTGCCACGGCGACCCTGCAGCGCAGATGGACTAACGGTGATACGGCAGCTGGAACAACTGGTGACAGTGTGATTGAGGGATGTGAGTACTGGATAAACGATATTGATGCTGGTGACTCTTGTAAGTCAATCGAGACCTACTTTGGCATCACCGAAAAGCAATTCCTCTCTTGGGTGCGTGAAGCAATCGCATATCTGGTCACATGATCCGACCAACTGACTGATTCAGAACCCTTCGGTGCCCTACTCGTGCACCTTGGTTCGTGGCTGGAGCTACTGCGTTGTCGGCCCCGAGAACCCTGTCACTTCATCCAGCACCACTGCGACTCCGACACCTGCTGGTACTCTGACATACTCGGGCACGGCGGCGCCCACACAGAGTGGTGTTTCCTCCAGCTGCGAGAAGTTCTACTTGGTCCAGGAAAGTGACACCTGCTACACTATCCAGGACAGCTTCATGAGCTTTACTCTCCAGCAGTTCTACTCATGGAACCCGTAAGATTCCCAGATCCCCTTCCTGAATCGGCTATTTCTGATGCCAAAACAGGTCAATCTCCACAGGTTGCAAGGGTCTATTGCCTGGGTACTATGTTTGCGTTGGTGATGGATCCACGCCTACTTCGCCTCCTGTCTCGTCTCCAACCGCGACAGGCTCGGCCGCTGTAACTGGTCACCAGCCACAGCAGACTGGCATTCCATCCAACTGTATGTCTGCCATTTGCTCCTATATTTACACAGACCAGATCAGTCCCTTCTAACTATAATAATCAAACAGGTAATAAATGGTACTGGGTTGTCGACGGCGACGACTGCGCTACCATTGCCAGCAAACACGACATCACCCAACAACAATTCCACGAGTGGAATCCCGCTACAGGATCAACCTGCACGACATTGTGGTCAAAGGCCTATGTCTGCGTCGGCGTTTCAGGTCAGCACATTCTACCCAATCCACAGACCCCGAAAGGCCAACCAGATCTCCTAACGAATTTAAACCCCCATAGGCTCCTCCTCTTCCGCCTCTACAACTTCCGTTTCCAAAACCACAACGGCACCATCAACCACATCTGGAGGCGCCCCCGGCCCAACAGGCAGCGGCACTGTCACAGACTGCGTAACATACTATGAAGCCCAATCTGGGGACAGCTGTTGGTCCATCGTCAATGAGAAATTCACCTATCTGACCCAGGCTCTGTTGACGAAATGGAATCCCTCTCTCGGCGACGCGTGTAGCCTTCTCAAGGATCAATACTACTGTGTCGCTATCAAAGCCGCTCAGCCAATGCCCGGTACCATTAATACCTGTAAGACATGGCATTTGGTAGCCAGTGGCGACGGCTGCTGGCAGATTGAGCAGGATAATGGGATTACAGCGGCGCAGTTCAACACATGGAATCCACAAGTTGGATCTGATTGTGCGGGACTTTGGCTGGGATACTATGTTTGTGTAGGTGTTTAGAATTGATATAGCAATTGGCGTTAGAACTTGTGTAGTATGGAGGCCGCAGCGTGGCTTCCGCAAGGCGGAAGTACTTGTGCGTGCGGACTAACCGGCCCTTACATTTTTTACCAAAATTACAGACCCTCGCATAGCGAGGGTCCGCCATCCATACCGTACATCCCATCCAAACCGTAGATTTTTTCTAAATCCCACCTTTTCACTTTGATCCTAAACCACCCCACCAACCATGCCTAAAAATAATAAAGATATAGAGAATCAGCTTCTTAAAGCTCTCGAATCTCTCGCTGAGCAATCTAAACCTAATATCGCGAAGACTGCGCGAGAATTCGCGGTTCCTGTAAACCGACTACGCCACCGATGGAAAGGGGGAAAATCGCTTTTTCAACGATAACCTAATGGTAGGAAGCTCAATCCTGCACAAGAGAAGGCTTTATGTGAATATATTGATTACTTTGACGCGGTCGGAGCGTCGATAAATCGTCGCCAAATTGCTATTGCCGCCAATTCAATTCTTGAAGAAGCCCACTATGACGAAACTAAACCACCCCTATAAATTGGCGACCACTGGATAAAACGTTTCCTGGATCGGTATCCTGAATATTATGTACGACGCCGGCGAGCTCTTGACGTTGAGAGAGCTTCTGCACTTAATAAAACTATGGTGGAAAGGTGGTTTTAAGACTATCAACGTGTGGTGACTAAGCATGGTATATGCTAATAAGATATCTACAATTTTGACGAAACTGGCTTTCAAATTGGCGTCGGACGCGATTAATTCATCATTACTAGGTATCTAAAAAAGAAGCTATTTAATGGATCTGTCACTAATCGTGAATCTGTCACGGTTTTAGAGGCTGTTTCGGCCGATGGTTTTACCTGCCCACCGCTTATAATTCTAAGTGCTAAGTAGGCATTACTACGCTAGTTTGACGCTATCGAAGGTGACGAGCATATATCTATAACTGATACTAGGTATATCAATAATACTCTCGTATATTAGTGGATTCAGCTCTTCCACAAATGGACAATTGGTCGTACAATTGGTGGAAAAAGGCTTGTTTTATATGACCGTTTTGGATCACATTTGACGCGTTAATTCGTTGAATTTTGTGAGAAGAATAATATCATTTTATTCTTCTTACTCTCCTATACCAGCCATATACTACAGCCTCTTGATATCGGGGTGTTTAGCGTGTATAAGCACTAGTATAGTGAGGCTGTTGAAGCGGCTACTATGACTGGATGCCGCAAATTCTCGAAGGATGAATTCCTATACTTAATTGGCGAAATCAGACGAAAAACCTTCTAGCCGCATATAATTAAGCTTGGATTCAAATTAACTGGCCTCTGGCCTATTAATTCCAAGCTTATTACTAATGAATTAGAGTCATACGATCTATATCATGACAATTTACCGCGGCTAGATACTCCGTTAACTAGCTCTCAAAACACCGAATTCAGCACTCTAAAAACAGCTAAGAGAATTCGAAGAATCAGCCATCGTCTCAATCAATACGATCCTACCACTCAGCGTTTCAAAGATGGGCTAGTAAAGCTTGCAAAGGGTGCTGAAGCGTAGGCTATGTTAGCTCTCCAGCTACAGCGGGAATTCGATTCAACACAAGCTGTTATGGGTGCTCGCCACGCCCGGTATGATGCTTCTCGACGCTATACTCAGATAACTAGCATTATCAGTTCATCCCAAGTCAAAGAAATGAAGCGAAAAGAATATAAATTGACTGAGAAAGCCGATCAAGAAAAAACGAAGCGGAAGTGGAAGAAGGTGTTGGTCGAAATTAGGAAGCATGAACGAGCGAAAAAACGCAGGGGAAATTGATCTAATTTTGTATACTAGTAGCAATCTGGTTAATTGATTTATTTACAATTTTTAATTAATTAATTTACTACGTGGTGGTATACTAAATGGTAGTCAAAGTAAAATGTATAAAAGATCTACGGTTTGGATGGGATGTACGGTATGGATGGCGGACCCTCCCTATGCGAGGGTCTGTAATTTTGGTAAAAAATGTAAGGGCCGGTTAATACACTATTATCATCAACCTGAAACATTGGGCCTGGAGGGGGTAATCTAAAATCAGGTCAAAGTTATGAAAGCTTGTTATTTATTTCGGTGGAGTACAATATCTAGTGAATTAATGCATCATTTTATTGATGGGAGCTTTACGAAAGTACGTATGAAAGCACGAAATGGATAAATTACGCGCGTGATCCTCTTCCCACTTGGTCTACTCCGTACCGCAGCTAACATGACCCTGGACCCAACTTGTTTTCTTCTAAGATTTCTTCATTTCCTTTTCACTAAATGATTCCAAGACTTTTTCGGAAGCAATTATTTAGGTGTTCGAGCATTTCAACTCGTCCCATCCGTTTTCCTACCAGAACTGGCCCTTCACAGCTCACCAAATCATTCTCAAAAACAATGAGTTCCTCACCTATCCCCGATTATGAAATCGAAGAACCATCAAAACGGGATCCCACTATGGAAACATGCTTAAACGCCGCAGACATCCTAGAACGGCTTCTCCAACAAGACGGATTCACAAAGTGGGGCTTCGTTATCTATCGCTGCACATATCAAAGCCAAAAAGACTGGGAAAGATTCATGGCTCGCTTCCTCCAGTCCGTCACAGAATACCTTGAGTATAGCAAGGGTCTAGATATGCTAGAAGGGTTTACCCCAACGGTCTTTGAAGACCCCTCATTTGATGGTGCGACCACCGCCGTTCTCCGCACCCATTTTAGGAAGTGGGCTACGACTGCACCGCTACAGGAACAGGGTGTCGATACTTTCGGAAACTCGGGTCGCTACAGATTTTTTGTTATGGTCGACCAGGAGGCGCTAGAGTCTGTCTTGAACTCGGACCCGGATGCCATGACGAAAACCGGGTTTGTTCGTCTGGTTTATGGAGAATGGGAACCGGAGGTAAATGAAGATGGCAATGAGTCAGTCGATTCGGATGAGGAGCTTGAGCCCCTGGAGGGATGCACGCTGGAAGATGTTGGTTGGATGAAAGTGCCTTACGATGAGGTGCAGGGGATTGGAGCCACGGATATGTGCGATATACACGACTGGGATACGTATTATGTTCGTCCTCCGAAAATGCAGGCCTTGGCTTGACTTACAGTGTCCACAAGTGAGACCGGAGGATGGTTTAGAAAATATGGGAATCGGACTGTGTATTTGAGAGGTTCAACGGCATTGAAAGTTGCATTTATAGGTCTAAATAATTTTCTTCTCCAAAGCGAACACATTTGTAACTTGAATATAGGCCGTGACGAGGCTTTAGATTCGTTTTCAGGAAGTGAGACACCATACATGAACATACGCGGATACATATAGTTGCTGTAGACTATATCTCGCTTCGGCAGTTGGATTCTAAACCACAAACCACAAGGCTGAGTGCGGATCCGTGGTGAAATCAACTTCGGCGAGGAGTCAGGGTAAATGGGATCTACTACACCAGTAGTTCAGAAACTGTGGTTTCTTTTGGCAATTAAGTGCGTACACAAGGTATGTATGGCTCCCTTGATATACTGCGTCAAGACATCCGTAAACAGTATACAAACCTGGATGTAAACCAGCAAAGCTACGAATATGGTGTTATTTACATCTCGCAACGACTGCCATAACAATGTTCTTCCCGAGGCACTATTTCTACCTCATATCTCAGAGGGATCACGGACACTGTATTGCCTATTTGGGTCTAGTGGCCCTCTCGGCCAGATCTGGACACCCAGTTCTCCTGCTCATACTATGTCTACCTTATTCTCTACTGTACCATGACAGGATACCACAACTCCTTTAGCTAAGATGAAGCAACATGTTTTTGCGTTCATCTATCAAACTTGGTTTGATGATGCTCCCAATATCTGTCCATACTGTAGGAAAAATGTCGAGGGAAGCAAGGAGAGAAGGAGGATAGAAAGTTCATGTTCTCCGGTCTCGCCCGAGGGTTCGGAACGGAGCGGAGGTGGTCCTTTGCGAGCAGGTTGAAATAATTTCTTGTCAGAGACCTGGGGGTACGAGAGTATTATGATAGGTGAGGAAGGGGCTCTCAGTTAGCCAATCTTTTCAGCCCTGCTGTACATACACCACTTTAGCACGCCCTCGTTCAACGAACGTTTGGTCAAAATTTCACTGCCCGCCGATTTTCCTCACATTAGATATTACGTTGAAAGCGCGCGTTACAGTAATGGTGAATAAATAATGCCTATCTTATGATCAACATGTGTTCCTTCATCTGTTATTCTTTCCGTCGGTAAGCGGTGTAATACCAGTTTGGGACTAGCGTAACTACTACACCGAATTGAGAAATATACAGAATGTAGACTGCGGCATATCCTCTCCATTGGATATCGGGTCACATACCATATCCGCAAATTGAGGATAATGGATATCATTTTAATACCATATCCTCAATGAGGATATGAGGATATTTTGCGGATATCCGCACTAGTATAAATCTCGCTAAATTATCTAAATTAGGCAAATCACGTGACTATTATACGCTTTTATATGAAATGTTATGATTTTCTAGTATTGATCATCGGAATAATTACCTAAATGGGTAGAGTCTTGGCATCTTTTACTTGTTTGATATCCAACCGATATCCGCAATATCCGCGTGGATATATATACTAATACTATATCCACAAAATTGAGGATTGAGGATATTAGTTACTATACCATATCCGCAATTTGCGGAGAGGATATGTGGATATCCATGGATATTGAGGATGTTGCCGCAGCCTAACAGAATGCATGCAATAAAAAAGGGAAGAGTGACCGATCAATGGCGTCCGTCCATTGTGGTGATTTTCGCCCCTTTTTCGAGAAGAGATAGCAAGCAAAGAACTGCTCATAGAGTTACGAAATTAATAAACAATAAAATGAAACTTTAGAGTTGGCCAAGTTTGTATCTTCAACGATGCTTTTCATGGACTAGCCGATGAGTGGTGAAAACATGATGGTCAAA